TGTGTGTGTGTGTGTGTGTGTGTGTGTGTGTGTGTGTGTGTGTGTGTTGTAGAGCAGAGGTCGTGTCCGGCAGAGCTGCACCCTCGTGCCCTCACCTCCTCTGAGCCCCAAAGCTCCCTCTGTGAGCGAAGGAGAGTCTGCAGGAGGAGGAGGAGGTGATGAAGATGCAGCTGAGGTGGGGCTGAACGAGCAGCAGCAGCTGGCGATGCAGCAGGAGGAGCAAATTCTCACCGAGCAGATCGAGAGTCTGCAAAAAGAGAAGTACGTTGTTGATCAAGCTGAATTACGATTTTTTCCACTTGTCACAGTTACATGACTCATAAAGCCATAATGATTTTTGTCTGCTCATGAGACAAGCATTGTGGCTTGTCTCATGGGCAGGGCATTAACGAACTCGCGTGTGTTGAGAGGATCAGGCTGAAAGTTTACTGTGCAGGAACATCATTCTAACTGCTGGTGTTGTGGCAGGGAGGAGTTGACGTACGAGATGCTGATCTTGGAGCCGCGGGCGTCGGACGATGAGACGCCTGAATCCGAGGCCTCCATCGGCACCGCGGACAGCTCCGAGAACATCACCATGGAGACGGAGGGAGCCACGTCCGACCCCTCTGGTGTGTGTGTTTGAGCGTTACACAGGCTCTTAAACTTAGTGAGTTTATATTTACGGTTCGATTGTCACCTGGCACCGAAAAGCACGTGAAAATATATGGACTTTAAGTAATCACTGGGGTCGACTACAACTGCTAACCTGTTGGGGTCAGTCTGGTTCAAATGGCTGCTGCAGCCATCGTAGCTCAGAAACCCAAAGACGGTCCTTCACATCACATGATCTCAGCACGGATCCGCTCAGATTTTACACGAGACTGTGATAATTCTGATAACGTTATGTTCATAGTTTGACCGACGTTCTCTTTTCCCAACATAATGTGATCATAGTTTGAAACGTGGCATGAAAGGCAGCGGGCGATGCGCATTCTTTCACGGAACGCTCGGACTGTGTAGCAGAAAGGTGCTGCAGGTGATAGGAAGGCGTAAATAAAGGTTAGCGTTTAGCATTAGCAGTTAAGGTTAGCTAAAGAAAAACGGCGTCTAATTCTGCATCATCAAACTAAAGAGATATCTTAAATAATATTCCAGTGTTTCCCCTAGATCAGTCCCCGTGGAGGTGACGCTCGTTATATTTTATTTTTTATTGACGGGGGGTGCCACATTTGTCTTTAACACTACATTGCTGCCGGTAATCAGTGGTGGGATGTAACGAAGTACAAGTACTTCATTACTGTACTTAAGTACATTTTTCATGTATCTGTACTTTACTTAAACGTGGGTACTTTCAACTTTTACTCCACTACATTTTACATTAAGTATCTGTACTTTCTACTACACTACATTTCTATAAAGTGTTACAAGTTGCATTCACGTTACAGTTTTTTATTTGTTCGTTAGTTTGAAAGTAACGAGTGGTGAGAGGAGAGTTGGTCCAGTGAATCACTGCAAAGTGGACAGGTAACGTTAGACCCACCTTCAAGAAGAGCTGGACCAATGACGTATATTCTAGTATATATGTCACTGAGCTGGGAGCACCCACAGCACCACTAACACACCCAAAATGTTTTCCAGCGCAGAGAGTCAGCCAGAAGATACGCACCACCCATGGTCTTATTGAAAGATTATTGAAAGATTATTGAAAGACTGTTCAGTACAGCAGGACAGATTCTCTCTCCCAGAAGAACCAGACTGGACTCAAAAACTTTGAAAACCAACTTCTTCTGAACTTGAGCAAGAAATTCTTGCTGCAATATTAAAATGTGTCGGTTCATGGATGTTAGGAGACGAGAGATGTCTCCAAATGTCTCGACACTCAGGTCCAAGTTTTGAAAATGGTGTCAGGAAGTTAAAATATTGTTCACCATTGACCCATTACAAGGTTTAAACAGTGTTTTAACTGGAGTTGATGACAAACTGGAGTTGAAATGATCAGATGTTCCTTTGTCAGGTCTAATGCTCCTTTTTTTAAACGAACAACTTTTACTTAAATGTGTTTACTGCAGTTAAAATGACACATTGGTTTTGTTTTGTGTTAAATAGAAACTTTCAAAGGTTATAATCATTCCTCTTTCTTATTTTGCTTAATGACATTTAACTCTGCAGGTCATCCCTGAAATACTGACACACAGAATCACAAGTCCAAGTGTGCACGGTGTCACAGAGTAAACACAATAAAAACATGTATTATCTGCAGCATCGTTCATTAAAATGACTCGACACTATTAATGTATTACAGAAAATATACACACAGTAGGAATACTTAATGATATTGTAGACCAGATTAGGTAATCCAAGTACTTTTTGACTTTTACTTAAGTAAAAATGTTAATGTGGTACTTTTACTAGAGTACATTTTTGTCTGTTTATTTGTACTTTTACTTAAGTACTTTCTCCACCACTGCCAGTAATTATCGAGGGGGGGGGGCAGAGCGGTATGTCAGTAGCGTTTTTGCTAGCACGTTTGTATTGCGTCCCCCGCGCTACATCAATACCGACGGTTGTCATCGGGGTGGGGGTGTTGGGTTCTGTTGACAGGGCGGGGCGCCCCACGTCTATAATGGTAGTGGAAAACACTGGATCCCATTACACATCCACATATTGACCAGTTAGGACGAAGTCAAAGGTTTTCCTGATGTCGAGAGTAACGAAAAGAGGCGCAAGTTCTGCTCATCTTCAATTTGTAGGTTGAGTTTACGGCACAACAAATCACATCTGTCACTACAACCACCGTATTTTTCGGGCTGTAAGGCGCACCGGATCATGAGGTGCGTTACGTGAAACTAAAACATCTGGACAGATTTCTGAGCATCTTGTGTCACATAAAATCTGTTCGCGGTCCGTAAGCTCAGCCTGATTTAAAAGGTGCGGCTCACTGCTGAGTCAAGTGCGCCTTATAGTCCGAGATATACGGTACTTTTGTTTTATACGTAATGTTTCAGCGCGTGTTTGTAGAATAGCCGAAGCGAGGCAGAGGAGTTCTGGCTGCTGGTTGTTACTGAGTTTGTATTTGTCTCTTCCAGCAGCTGTTCAATCCCGCTCGTGCCCTCTCTCTGCAGAACGTGGAACGTTCCGATCCAGGAAGTCGGAGGCAAAAAGCAGGCGGGCTCTGCGTCGCCAGCCCGACTCCCAGGACTCCGCCGACTCCACCTCCACCATCTCCTCCTATCACCCTTCCTCCTCTCTCTCCTCCATCACCTCCAGCTCCCCGTCCCCTCATTACCGCTTCCGCTCCTCCTCCTCGGGGCCCCTGCTCACGTCCTGCGGGCTGGGGGCCCCGCTGGCTGAGCCAGAGGGCGGCCAGAAGCCTGGAAAGACTCGGCACAGGCTCAGGCTGAGCCGCAGCTCGCCGCGCGACTCCTCGGGAAGCCACCGGAGAGAGTCGGACTTCGGCTCGGGGCCCCAGCAGCTGGTTCTGTACGGCAGCAACGAGTTCGTGGTGTGACGGCGAGAAGGTTTGAAGCGTAGGAAGGTGTGTTTGAAAGGAAAAAGACTGAGCGAGGGTTTGACAGAAGGCCTTCCTCAGTGCCGGTACCATCCTCCTCCGGTCCACTTTAAACAAAAAGCTGTGAGGGCGGAGGGCCCGACGGACCCGCAGCAGCAGACGGGCACAGGAAGAGGACTCGTAAACAACGTGGCGCTCGAGCGCAGCTGATCGGAGCCGCTGCAGGTCCAACAGAGGGCGGTTGGGAACAAAACCCTCTGCGAAGCCAAATCTTACAGCGCCACGTCTTTATTTTGTTAGCATGTGGGCCGGTGGTTCAAGCACCCAGAAGAAATGTAGCCATACTGACTGAACGCAGCTCCAAGTCTGCTTTTCATGTTTACATCATCACATCGCTTACAGGAGACTGTCAAACTCTTTGTTGTTATTGTTGTTGTTGTGACAGAGGGAACAGGTGTACATAGAGTCCAGTGGTCGTTCATTGTACATTTTTCCTGGTTTTGTAAAGTGTCAAACATTCAGGTTCCACTTTTTGTTCCGTTTGTGTGCCGAGTTTACTCGGTCGGGTTGTTGTTTTTCTGTTTTCCCTGCAGTTCAGTGCCAGTTTTGGGCGTGCTCGTGAGAACTATAAGAAGGAAAAGCTGACGGCACTACGAGAACGTGAGGAGCAAAATGTCCCGTCAGCCACAAGTGTTTTTGTTTTTTCTGCGACGAGAAGTTTTTCCTTCTGTTAAATTCAGAACCATCAGTGTTACTGCGTCAGGACTTGAATTTTTTATGTAAATAATTATTGTATTGTAAGTGTTTTTGATGTCAAATGTTTGTTTTTTGTTCTGATGAAAGCCATTTGTTTTCTTTCTTCATCTTCGTGCGTCCACATGTGTAGCTTCTCTTACACTCCTGTGCGGGTGAAAAACGTCATCAGCCACCGACTTATACCAAACGTCACTAAAGTAATTTAAATTCTTGCATTCATCCGCACTCAAACCGTCTGTTGTTCCTAAATGTTCTCCTTTCTCAGCCGAACAGTAGCTCTAATCTCCGCAGATGTGAAAAGTAGCATTTAATCCACGTTAACCAAACGGACAAACATAAACTGAGCTCCGCCCGTCCAGATTCTCTTCCTGTAGCTTGGCAGCGGTCGTGCCGACGTCCTCCACGCTTCTGGTCTTTGATCACGTTTGAGCACTTTCAGGAGCGTTTTTTTTTTTTTTTTTTTTTTGACAATATAATGAAAAAAGCTACATTAACTGTAATGGGATGGGATGATGTTTGTGGTGTGTATTCATGACATTCTGGATAAAAATATATTTAAAAAAAGCTTTAAAAAAAGAAAAAGTGAATGTACCTGTCACTGGAAGGCATGCCTTGCTTTCTGTTTTTGTTCTTTTATACGCCGTGTATGTACTATTTATGATCATGATTTTTGCGATGTACATTAGTTTAAAAAAAAAAAAATGTTAAATTAAAAACAGGATATATTATCCTTTCGTGACCATAGCAACATTTTAACAGTCCACGCCCGGTCGGTCATTTCTGAGCTGGGAAGCAGGATGAAGAAAGAAAATGTGAGGAAAGTGTTGCATCTGTTCGTCCTCGCCACTCTGGACATCGTCATAAATGTATACGGTGCAATTTGTAATTTTTTTTTTGTTGCTTTTTAATAATATAAACATGTCTATGGTTGTAAGAGAAAAAAAGACTTTATGGGGAAATTCAGCTGCTTATTAAAAAAACAAAAATGCAGTCAACCCTCCTGTGAGCTGTGATGATTTTTGTTACCGTCCTGCATTTCTTGCACTGAAAGTTCTGAATCTTATGTTGTTTAAATTATAATCTCTTATTAACGTTCGTATTTTCCCCGTTGTGTTTATGAAATACTGTAGCTTTTTTTTATTTTTTCTCCAGAAGCGAGTAGCAGAAAAGAAACCGAACAGACTCTGATTGACCAACTTCCGTGTCAGCCCCGTTGCCTTGACAACCAGCCGGCTGAGAGTAAACGAAACCAAACAGGGCGGGAAAGTTCCTGCTTCACAGTGACTGTGGTAAAGTGAACCTCCACTCGGCTCCGGCACCGCAGTGGTGTAGTTGTGTTGTCACTGTTGTGTAATGTTGTGTTGTCAACATGTCACCTGCAGGAGTTGAGTCTCGTTCTCTGTGAATCAGAATCGTCTGTTTCTCTTCTGTGGAAATGAAAGCAGCTCCATCAGCTCAGAGTCTATAAAACGAGACGGGACTGGTTCTTCAGCACATCTGGTTTCACATCTGTCCCAGGATCAGCTGAAGACCCGTTGAACCTGACCTGAAGTCGGCAGGTTTTGTTTGGACTCGCGGTTCATGTTGTGGACTTTGCAGATGGCCGAGGACAGAATCATCGTGTTCTTCGACCTGGAGACCACAGGATTAGGTAAAGTGCTTCTGTCAGCTTAAATTATTTAACTAATTAATGCAATAATCTGTTTTTTAAATTAAAGCTGGTTTACCCAAACCAACAAAAATATTTCATCTTTGATTTAAAACCTGAAACACTTTGACCTCAGCTCAGAATCAACTGATGTTTTCTTTGGTCTCAGATCTTTAAAAATCAGCTGATGGTCAATTGAAGCACAATAATAATCTGAAGGTTCATGAAGCATCACTCTGCTGTGATCCAGTTTCCTTCTATTTTCAGATAAATTCAAGTTATTGGTGGTAATTTTTACCTTCAGCCTAATGAACGTCTTTCTGCTCATTTCAGCTTATTTCTGCTAGTTTTGCTTATTTCAGTTACTATTTGGCAGTTTTATGGTAACTTTAGCTTTTTTTGCTAATTCCGTTTTATTTTTTTAGCTTATTTCAGCTCTTTCCACTCCCTTCTGGTAGTTTAAGCTTCTTTCTGCCTTTTCAACAACGTTTTAGAATTTCTTTTTCCAATTTAAGTCTTCTTTTTTTTAGCTAATTTCCTATTTTTTGTGCCAATTTCTGATTATTTAAACATAATTCAGCAAATATGTGTTTTTTCTGCTTTCTTCTGCTAACTTAGGCTTGTTCTTCCATTTCAGCTACATTTCAGCATGTTTTAGCTAATTTCAGCTGTTTTCCAGCAAGTTCTCCTGCAATAAACATTCATTCTGCATTTTCACAGGAAATACAATTTGTCTAGTTATTTATATTTATTAAATGGACGAATAATGGTGAGTATATGGGGGTTCAGTGTCTTGCACTTCGACTGTCACTGCTGGTGGAATCGAACCCCCAACTCTCGCACTGGAGGACAACTGCTCTAACCACTCAGCCATAGCTGCTGAAAACAGCTTCTTTGTGTGACTTGTGGGAAAAATTACAGTTGGTAAATGCACACGGAGACAAAGACGTTAACTTTTAAAAATGCCCTGTGGTCAGATTAAAGACACCCAAACCATTTCATCCCAGTATACAATTTAAAAGTAACGCTCCCCAGTTCTAAGAAAATCAATGTAAAGCGTGATTTAGAAAAGAAAAAAAAAACTTTACGTATTTAACAAATATGACCATCATGTCACGTCATGTCATGTGACATCATCTTTTACCCGCTTCTTCCTTTCTCGGGTCATGGGGGTCACTGGTGCCCATATCCAGCAGTCACTGTGCGAGAGACGGGGACACCCCGGAGATCACAGGGACACAAACAACCAACCACTCTCTCACTCTCACCTAGGGACAATTTAGAATCCGAATACTTTTATTTTATCCTTGCACAGTGAAGTACAACAAAATTACTTTCCGTACAGCCGTCCTGAAGACGGACAGAAGTGTCCGGGGGTGCAGCTTCTAAGATGCGCTGCCCCCGTTGCTTAGATATGAAAAAGGGAATTAATTAATTCAATGGTGTATGAATGTGATAAAGCACTGATTGGGCTCTACACATTCAGATTAGCCTTGTAGAGATCTAGTAGAGTGAATGGGTAAATGAAGACACAGATTGTGTTGTACAGCACTTTGAGTACCTTGATAAGATAGAAAAGTACTATACAAGTACAGTCCATTTACTAATTCTGATGAGTGCTCAGTTAGCAGTAATCTACACCACTCACCATGCTCATAGAGGTTAAATGTAATTCATAAGGTTTATATTTGCATAAGACTCCAGAAACCATCTGAGCACCATCAAACTGGTTGACCCACTATGAGAAGGTGCTATTCATAAGACTGAGTTTGTTGCGGCTCCTCGGACAGAACGAGTCTTTTGGATGAAAGACGAAACGTTTCAACAAAAGGAAACCATCTTAACGTTGTTGGATTTTTCTACCTGGATTATTGAGCGTGAACTTTGATGTAAGGCATATTGTTTTGTAGATCTTTCACTGTCTACTTATGTAGAGCCCCTGAAGCATATCCTGCTTAGGACCCCCAAACACTGCCGACCTGTGCTAATTTTCAGCTGCACAGCATTATTATGGCTGCTGAAGCTGTGATGATGATGTGTTGATAAAATCTGATCACTCCAACCCGTCTGTGTGATCCCTATCAGACAGTTCATCGTGATGACACATGCACACACCCAGACTCAGGTACTTAGCTCTTAAGCAACTCTGAAACTGAGTCTAGAAGCAGATTTTGTTTCAGTGCTGAGAATTAAATGACTTGATCTTTGCACTTGATGCCATCCCATATTTGGCAAAACAGGAAATGTTTGTGTCATTAGTCTGTACGGCCACGGCTCACACTTGCAGGTTGTGCCACCATTCCAGAAAACCTTCTGCCAATTCAGGACTGTAGCGAAACAACTGATCTCAATTAAATAAAGTCCAGTTCAGACCTACAAGTTACACATTTATTCAGTTAGTTGGAGTACTTTTATTTTACTGCTGTTTTTCTGAAGTGGACTCTCGGTTTTTGTTCCTGAGAATCTCTACTGCTACTTCCTGAATGCTTTTTGCCGCCTGGCGGACGTCAGTGGTCACCCTGAGCTGGAAAAAGAAACAACTGATCTGACATTCTGTGTGTTTATGTCAATAAACAAAAGTGTTCCTTCAGTTTCACTTTTCATTCATGTGAAAAGAAACTGATGAAAGGAGTTCACTACAACAGTTTCTTTCTGTGTATAACATGAATCATTGGTGACATCGAATGAAACCATTGAGACCTGTTCCCAATTTTACATGTACAAGTTTACACGTGACTCACTACACAGGTAAAATATGGCGCTCCGTTTATTCCTGTGAAAGCTGCCTGGCTTTATTAAACAGTTTTGAGCATGCTCAGTAGAGCTAGGCCTGTCACGATAACACATTTTGCTTGGCGATTAATTGTCTCAGAAATTATTGCGATAAACGATAATGTTGTTTGAAATTTGACAATAATTAGTAATGTCAAATTTAAAAAGAAATGTTTAATTAGTTTTGCATGTAGTAGTGATGTGCGAATCAATATTAAAATATCGATACTATCGATATACCGGTTCGCTCTGGAATCGATGTTTAAATCAAGATATCGATAATTTTGATGCTTCAGTCATTTCAGGTAATGCATATCATTAACAGGAAGATGGTGGAAAGTAACTAAACTATTGAGATCTTGTCTAAAAATATAACATTACCTTAAACATATCTCATTACTTAATAGTCTATTTAATTATTTATTTTAATAGTTTTATGATTTTTCTTATTTTTATTGTTTGAAAAAACATTTTCACATATTTTATATGATGTCCTGTTTGTTTTATAAGCTCAGACTAAACGAGGACACTACCTCAACATACTCCTGAGTTTAAAATAAATTAATTACTTTGTCTTGCATTCTTTATGCAACTTTGATTTGAATACACTGTTTTTTTTAGGTTTACCTGACACATTAGGCGTATTTGCAAAAGTGTCGGTATCGATACCACCGATACTTGCATGGATTTTACCCGGTATCTTATCGGACCAGAAAATCCTGGTATCTAACAACACTACTTTTTTGACCACTGGATGGCAGTATAAGTCTGTTTGAACTGAAGGATGGATAGTGAGGGAGCGAGCAGCGTGTCTCTAATGGGAGGGAGGCCCCTTGACTTGACATGGGCTGTCTCTCTTCGGTTCTCAAAATGGAGGACGCTCTATGTGGTTTGAGCTCTTTAGCATTTTTTACACAACGCTTTTAATAAAAAAATCAGTAAACAAGTTCTCAGCTTCTTTTTGCAGAGAAAAACAACTTTTTACACGAATTCACGGGTTTCAACCGTGAATTTTGGAGCTTCGCCAAGAGGGAGGTCTTCAGTAGAACAAGAGAGACACGAATAAACGATAAAGCCGATAAATGAAAATGAGGTCGATAATTTTCATCTATCATGCGATTAATTGATTTATTGTTTATCGCGACAGGCCTAAGTAGAACTTTTAAATCGGCCTTCTAGGTAGAAATTTATACAGTAAAGACTATTTTGCAACTCTACCCAACAAACAGGAGAGGATGACTAACACTAAACAATGCTAAGCTAAGCTAAGCTAAGCTAAGCATCACCCGTTGACGTCACCGTAACCTCGAGGTTTAGAAAAAATTCAGTCAAGATTTTTATTTTATTTTTTTTGCTTTAATCCTTGGATTTCACACAATATGCTTGAGCACGGATGACAAAAGGGACGTCTGTGTTTCTCTCACATGCACTGTCCATCTCCCATTTTTAAACAAGTAGTTGAAAATGAATGAAAGGACTTAATGTTTCCTGCTTCGTTTCTTTTAGACACCTCATCGTGTGACATCATCCAAGTGGCCGCTGTCTACGAGGAGAATGTCTTTAACAAGTACACCCTCCCACGCCAGGCCATGACTCCGAGCGCCAAGCAGGTCACAGGCTTCACAGTCAGACCCGACGGCCTGTTCCTTCACGATAAACCTGTTGAAACCGTTCCCCTCACCGAGGTTCTCAACTCCTTCATCTCCTTCCTGCGTTCCTTCAGACGCCCAGTCCTGCTGGCGGCCCACGGTGCAAAGCGCTTTGACGCTCCTGTGCTCACCAGAGTGCTGCGAAGGCACTCCCTGCTGCAGCAGTTCCAGCAGGTGGTATCTGGATTTCTGGATACTTTCCTGTTGAGCAAACATCTTTACCCCCGTTTGAGCCGACATTCTCAGGAGTATATGGTTCAACACTTTCTGAGAATGTCCTACAACGCCCATAATGCTTTGGAGGATGCCAGGATGCTGCAGAAGCTGTACAAGAGATGGAGCCCCAACAACGGCGACATTTTATGCTCCAGCTTTAGAGGGGTTGGATGCTTTTATTAAGAAAGAAGATTTTTCTTTTCAAATGTTTCCCAAAAAAAAAAAAAAATGACTTGAGATTTAAGTTCTTTCCAATTTTATTTTTATCTTGCACGTTCAGATAAGTGAGCACCATAAACGCATGAATAGTTTATTCAAATCTCGTGTGATGTGTCAGAAATAATTTGTTACAGCTCAGATTCACTGGTATGTCATGGTCGTTCACTGGACTCAGTCATGTAGCATTATGGTTTACTGTAACGTGCACTGTGTTCACAAGTGTTTGGTACCAACACTAGATTCAATTTTCTCTGTTTCAACTAATAAACTTCTATTTACTGTAATTCACCGACTCTTTATTTCTACCAAATATCAGTTATCACGGGGGGAAGTACCTCTACTGGCACATAGATCTAACGTGTCTGCAAAGAAAGTTTGACATTTAACATTTTTTAATTTTTATTATTTCCTATTAGACACTTATGTAAAGTTTGTCACAAGATTCGTGGAAAGTCTTAAAGTCCTTTAGCACAGGAGAGTTTAAAACACCAACTCATAGCAGAGACCTGAGCAAACAATTGTTTTTTCATTCAACCTTTATTTATACATGTTAGTCTCATTGAGTCACGAGGACTCTTACGATTTAAATTAAGGATAAAAAGGACCCCTTTGAAATCACAATAAATGAAACTAACATGTTTTACAACAAGTATGTTGTTTTTTTTTCCATCTGGGAAACTATCCTGGAAAACTTGACTCATGAGATAAGATAATTCATTCAACCTTTATTTATACAGGTTAATCCCATAATACTTAATCTATCCCACAATGGGGACATTCAGGGGTCACAGCAACAAGACGTAGTACAGAAACACCATGGAGTAAGATTAAGAAATAATGAATGTTTTAAAAAATCACAAGCTGTTTACGGAAAAATACATCAAGTTTTAAGGTTCGGTATTGTCATTTGCATCAATGTGGTACATGAGGTGGAATGAAATTGTGTACACAGGGTCCCAGTTACATCCAAATATAAGAAAAATATAAAGTGTAATAAGAAACAGTAAATAGGGATCTAAGGGACTCACCTGTTTAAATAAAGGTTGAATGAAAAAAGATATAAACTAATACGCAAAGCAACAATATTGCAAAATAATACGCCAAACAACAGCAGCACGAACATGAGTGTGTATGAGCAGATGAGTACGAGTGAATACAGCAGCATGAGATCAGCAGCATGGATGATCAGCAGCACATATCACTGATCAAAGTGGCATTACAGTGATTTTTCACATTGATTATTCTGATTAGAGATGAGTCTAACAGCTTCAGGGTAGAAGCTGTTCCTCAGTCTAGTGGTTCTACACTTAATTCTCCTCAACCTCCTATCTGAGGGATGTGTTTGTTCCTTTTGAAGTCCACGACCATCTCCTTCATCTCCTTCACATTGATGTGAAGGTTGTTCTTCCTGCACCGGCTCTCCAGGTGTTCCACCTCCTGCCTGTAGCTGGACTCATCATTGTTTGTGATGCATCCCACCACCTCTGTATCATCTGCACACTTTATAATGTGACAGCCTGTATGGGCAACTGCACAATCATACGTGAGCAGAGTAAACAGGAGGGGGCTCAGCACACATCCCTGAGGAGAGCCAGTGCTGAGGGTTATGGTGGAGGAGGAGAATCGTGGATCCTCACTAACTGTGGTCTGTTTGTTAAAAAGTCTAGTACCCAGTTGCAAATGGAGGGGCTTAGTCCTAGTGTGAGCAGTTTGTCCATCAGGGTCTGGTGAGTCATCCTCACTGATGTGGATGTTAGCTTTGATGTGGGTCATGACCAGGGTTTCAAAGCATTGACTGTCGGGGTCAGGGTGAGGGCTACTGGCCAGTTTTCATTCAGACCAGTCACTGCAGAGCTCTAAGGAAGTGGGATGATGGTGGCGGTCTTCAGGTGGGTGGGAACTGTTGCTAGCGTGAGGGAGGAGTTAAAGATGTTGGCCAGCACCTCGCAGAGCTGATCGGCACAGTCTCAGGAGGTTGCCATGAGGTGTTGGAACGTCATAAATGGTGCGTGTGTGCACCTCATCTGTCGCCTCCCTAAAGAGGATTCTAAAGTCTTTGTTTAAAGGCCCCAATTGGGAAAGCGCAGATGGGATGTTGTGGTTTTGGAAGCTTTTGATCAGTTAGTTGACAACATTTGAGTTCATTGTAGGAACACCTGCGGATTCATTTTAGAGCCCATCTCGTATGTAAATGATAAATGGACTCACCTTTCTACTCAAAGCACTTTAGACTGGGTTTAGTTCTAAAGGCTAAATGCTCTAAAAGCACAGAATGTCACGGCTGCTCTCGGCCACGCTCACTTAATCTGCACGGAGATCAGCTGATCAGCTGCAGCAGGAAGTTTATCCTGCCGTGTGCACAAAGGTGCAGCAGGTGCTAAATAATTTGAAATTTATTTTAAATAAAAATTCTATGCTGATTGTGCAGCTCATCCATCAATCAGCTAAATGTGTGTCATGTCCAGTCTTATGAAAAACCGCGATAGAACGAGTCCACGATAAACAAACTGCGAAGTATCGAGGGACTACTGTACTCCTGAATAAATTTATAGAAGTCTATGCAAATAACCATGTAATGTAAACATTAGTGTGAAATATATAAACTTGTGCATAAAGCGTAAGAAAACAGAGATGGTTTAGATTTTTTGAAAGACGGCAACAATTTGGTCTTAGCATTTCTTCCAAATGAGACTGATCAAATTATTTACAACCTGTAATAAGCTAATTATTTATAACTTTCCCCAAAAACTCACTTAAAAATGGCTGAATCATCCCTTTTATTTTAGAATGTTCACAAGTAATGAGCCAAAAAATAAATAATATTCATACTGAACAAGACGTCTTCACCACCAGGCATTCACAATTCTTATGGATTAGTTTCATAAAACAAAGAAAGTTCTGGGCTCTGCTCATGTACCATTTATTTTTATTTTTTTAAAATAATCACTCACTTTGAAAAGTTTCCAGACAGTAAATGTGCACAGTAACAGTCCAAAACTTCAAACTCAGCAGGATCCATTTCACAACGACTCATTACTGCAGCAGCAACAAAAAGCCCTCTGGGTGCTTTAAACAGATTATACACAGGCATCAGTTACAGATTATAACTTTATCCTTTCTCTTTACAGAATCTTGTTTTAGCTAATGTTAAAATAGAAACTAATGTTGTTGCTGGCTCTTATAACAGATTAGACTTCAACATGGTAATACTGTTTTAGTCCAAAATATGTAAATTAATTTTTTTAAACTAAATTTGGTTTCAGTATTATCTTAATTTCAGGTTAAACGTTAAAATAGCTGGTAAAAAAAAAAAAGAGTTAATTTACCACTTTGAGTTGACGTCATGCTTTAAACAGAGTAATAAATAGATTTGTGACATTTATGATTTCATAATCTTCACTTCATCAGGAATAGGCCTGTCGCGATAAACAATAAATCAATTAATCGCATGATAAATTAAAATTATAGATCTAATTTTCATTTATCAGCTTGATCGTTTCTTCGTCTCTCTCTTTCTACTGAAGACACTGGATGACAAAAGGCTGAACTCCGCTGCTCTTCACTGACCCCTCCCACTCTTTTCATTAAAATCCGTTTTACCCAACAAAATCGCATTTTTGGATCGTTAAAAGCAGCTAAGCTACGAGCTAAGCTAACAGGTGGTCAGGGGAAAAAAAATTCTGTCTCGTCGAAGCTCCATGCTAAAGAGCTCAAACCACACCAAGCATCCGCCATTTTGAGAACCAAAAAATAGGAACGAGAGACAGCCCATGTCACGTCAAGGGGCCTCCCTCCCATTTTTCTTAGAGACACGCTGCTCGCTCCCTCACTATCCATCCTTCAGTTCAAACGGTCTTATACTGCCATCCAGTGGTCACAAAAAGGCACTACACACAAAAATTAACCAACAATTCTTCTTAATTTTGACACTAATTACTATTGTCAAATTTAAAACAATATTGTTTATCGCAATAATTTCCGAGACAATTAATCGCCCAGCAAAATCTGTTATCGTGACAGGCCTATTCAGGAACCTGAATATAATCAAGTGTAAGTGTTGTTGCTGCTTCAGCTTTCATTTTTATTGTGTTCATAATCCAGCACCAGTTTTTAACTTGGAAAATGCAGTTTGTTTGTTTTTTTAACAAAACAGCATTTTCATCAATACATGCACGGTAAATAGAGTTACAACCACCAGGAGTAAAAACTCTGCAGGACTGGATTATTGAAGAATATTTTAGAAGAAAAACACTTCAAGTAGCGGTACGAGCTGCTGGATGAGTTTATAATTAAAAACATCTATGGGTGCGCTCAAACCTGGATCTGAAAACACAGTTTTTATTTCTACCTATCAAGACGTCAGCTTTGAGGAACTTCTGACGTCAGACTACAAAGACGCAGGTAGCACAAGGTGTCACACACAGCTGTCCCAGCTACAAGAGGCAGCAGGCTCTGAACAGGGTCATCCCTGACGGCGAGGTGATGTGCAGGGACAGACTCTCATTGGCCGAGACAAAGAGGACCGTCCCACGTCTCATTGTGAGGTCCGAAAAAGCGGCAGCAGAGGTTGCTGTAGCGTCACCTTCAACCACCAGGAGGATGCTCGCGCTGTCCACTGAAGCAACTGTGTAGGTGTTCATCGAGGCCGGGACCTGCAGTCGGACAGGAGAGTCTTCAGCCACAGTATCAAGCGAACAATTACACAGTTCACAAAAGACAGTCATCTGTTCTCTTCAAGGTAAACCATTAACAAAAGCGGTGGTTTATTTTGTGACATTTCAGGTTTGAATGCAACCATCATTTGTGGAATAAAACTGCAGGTGAGCAGAAACGTGACCGCAGCTCTTCAGATGGGCTCGTCTCCCAGGTGACATCACAGGTGGTGGTGATCGTTACTGGTGGAGGAGAATCTGCTCCTGTTACAGCAGAGATGATTACTACGCCAGTTTGGACTGAAGTCATGATCATTACTTGCAGCAGAACGATCAGAACTTTATACATTTATTTTGTTTTTGGTCAACTGTAAATGAAACAGTATTAGTGTACTGCAAATTCAACTGGGACTCTAAAAACTGAAGCTACGGAAGTACAGTAGTTCCTCGTTTATCGTGGGGGACCGTACCCTGAAGACCCGCGATAAGTGAAAAACCGCGAAGTAGGAATAGTAGTACAAGTAGTAAGTAGAAGTTTATTTTATTATTTACATGTATATAGGAATTTTAAACCCTTCCCACACTCTTGCAATATTCTAAACAATTTTTCAAACTCTAAAGCTTTAAAAGAGAATAGGACGTCATGATTTCAGCTCCCTGCCTCCTCTGCTCTTTGCCTCCTGCAAGCGCTCTTGGCCACGCCCACTTCTCCGCAGGAAGTTTATCCTTCAGTAAGGGCTGCACAAAGCAGCAGGAGGAAGCTTTGTCTGCAGTTCTGGGCTTCACGAATGTGCAGCAGGTACTAAATAATTAAAATAATTTATTTTAAATTAAAATTCCATGCCGATCATGTGGCTCATCCATCAAATTGGGCAATTGTGTGTCGTGTCCACTCATATTTTTGAAAAACCACGATAGAGCGAATCCGCAATAAATGAACTTTGGAGTAGCGAGGGACTCCTGTATTCATGGCCCATCCCTCACAGTATTTGTTGTTTTATTTCAGAGTTCATTGCCTTAAAAAAATTTCTGGCAGCTCCCGTCTTCAGGTCACAACAACGAACGAACTCGCACGAAAGATTTGACAATTGTTTTACGTCGAACGCCCTTCCTGACCCCGTCTGCAACGAGAAATTCTGTCCATAAAAGTTATGAAGAGAATCAGTGACAACTCCCACCCTGAAGGGGTCCGACTTACTGACGACGAGAACCGAACTCTCGCCCCGCTTGTTTATGAACCGAACAGCCCGTAGCAACGGGTCCCAGTCCCACCGGAACACGGTCAAAAGCCTTCTCCAAGTCCACAAAACACATGTAGACTGGATGGGCAAGCTCCCATGACCCCTCGAGGACCCTAGTGAGGGTAAAGAGCTGGTCTAGTGTTCCACAACCAGGACAGAACCCGCATTGTTCCACCTGGATCCAAGGTTTGACCAACGATCGGAACTCTCTTCTCCAGTACCGCTGAATAAGCCTTACCAGGGAGGCTGAGGAGAGTGATGCCCCTGTAATTGAAGCACACCCTCCAGTCCCCCTTTTTGAAGAGGGGAATCACCACCACCAGTCTGCCAATCCAGTGGCGCTGCCCCAGATGTCCACGCGATGTTGCAAAGGTGCGTCAACCAAGACAGCCCCACAACATCCAGAGCCTCAAGGAAATCAGGGTGAATCTCATCCACCCCCGGAGCCCTGTCGCCTCGAAGCTTTTTAAGTACCTCAGTGACCTCAGCCACAGTTAAGGACAGACCATCCCCAAAGTCCCCGACTCAGCTTCCTCCATGGAAGACGTGCCAGTGGGATTGAGAAGGTCTGAGAAGTATTCCTTCCACCTCCCAACGACATCACTGGTTCAGGTCAACAGCTCCACACCTTCACTGAACTGTGTTAGTAGAGAGCTGCTTTCCCCTCCTCAACCTCATGATGGTTTGCCAGAATCTCCTCAGAGCCAACAGAGAGTCTTTATCCAAGGTCTCACCAAACTCCTCCCACATCCGAGCTTTTACCTCAACAACAGCCAAGGCTGCAGACCGCTTGGTCCTCTGGTACTCCTCAGCTGCCTCCAGAGTCCCACCAGCCAACAAGGCCCGATAGGACTCCTCCTTCAGCTCGACAGCCTCCCTAACCCAGGGTGTCCATCACAGAGTTTGAGGATGGCCACCACAAGAAGCCCCAACAATCTTTTGGCCACAGATCAAGACAGCCACCTCAACAGTTGAGGCGAGGAACATGGCCCACATAAATAAACATTAGTATGAAAGAAATATGTTTGCCATCTAGTGGTGGTGAGTAGAAACAACAACGTATAGTTTGGAAATTAAAAGTCTATTTTTTTCAGCCATGTAGATACAACTGTATGACTTTGGCACCTTAAGTTAAAAGCATTCACAATATAATCAGAATTTATTTGACTTCATGTAGGCCGCAAGCTAAAACATATTAGTCTCGGTAGTACAGGATTTTGGAAATCATCTCTGCATGGGATGGACATATGTACAGTGCACGTAGGCCGTGTGTGTGCACCCCTGCAGCAGTGTGCTTTGAGCATGTGATTGAGGAATAGCATAGGTATACTTAATCACCCATGGACTTAAGACAAAAGAATAAACTTACAAAGACGGTCTCCTTTAGGACAGAAAAGCTCTCTGAGATGAAATGTGTCATCTACCAGCATGTATCTTAGGGATATTTCATTCAATCAACTTTTATTTATACACGAGACGGATTTACACGCAGTTCGCATACCTGTATCTTTAGGACAGTGAAGTCTGGCACTGGGGGGTTGTACAGGGTTACACAGGGGTCTGAGGGGTCTTGGACACAGGGGAAGATTTTGGAGGAGACGGGTGCTGGTTTGTAGTTCAACATCTCACACAGTGTGTTAACGTCGATGTATTTGGGTGTCAACCCCGCCCTCACAGTGTTGTCGGAGCAGGCCATGCACTCGATACAGTCTAGACGGGCAAACAAAATGTTAATTAGAGCTTGGTTGGCTAACCGCGACTATACGTTGCGTTTTCAACGATCACCAACAGACACACAGGAAATAAAATTTAAATTTGTACAGATATGAGACAAACAGAAAATAAACAATGACCCACTGACCTCCGTAAATGTAAGCATGAGGTTCATTGGCTCCCAGGAACATGGCCTGACCCGGTTTCAGAACCACATAGTTGAGAAAGTAAATGGAGAAGCAGCCAACGTCTCCAGGATACTGGGAGTGGAGGCGAAGCAACAGCTCACCAGCGCTGCGGGATGTGTCCTTCCCTGCTGCGCCTGAACAAACCACAGATTTTCTTATACGTGTAAGGAACCTGACCGGTCATAGTGAGAGGGATCCAGCTGCTGACCATGGGGACCATCTCCACTGAAAACATGTGCCCTTTACCTCCACCAGACAGAAGTAATCTTCACTCGTAGCCACAGTTCTACCCTGACTCTGTCCTATCTGGTAGAGAGGAGATGAAGATCGCATGTTTCCGATGCAGCTGGTGACCCCATCGTCTCCTGGTGGCGGTAAACAACAAAACTGTCCCACCAGGCCAGGCACAATGAATAACATACATTTACCTTCAGATAGTTTTATAGTCTCCTATTGCAGATCGTATTGTTACATATTTTCCTAACAGAGCACTTCACTCTCAGAGTGCAGGTTTACTTGTGGTTCCTAGAGTTTTCAAAAGCAGAATGGAAGGCAGAGCTTTCAGTTCTCAGGCTCCTCTCCTGTGGAACCAACTTCCAATTTCTGTCAATGAGGCTGACACATTGTCCAGTTTTAAGATTAGACTTAAGTATTTCCTTTTTGATAAATCCTATAGTTAGTATCAGCTTGGGTTTCATGAGCTAGCCCTTAGTTCTGCTGCTATAGGCCTAGACTACTGGAAGACAAATAGACCACATGTTCTTACTCTTCTGCCATCTTTACTTGCTCTACTCTTCCTGGTTGTATTTGTAATTATTTTTATCTTAACACGTGTTTTTTGTCTTTCCTCCTAAAGAAAGTACACGTGGACTATAGAAAGTACACGTGGACTATAGAAAGT